TCAGCCATTTAAGACACAAAGATACCTTGTTATAAGTAAAACTCGTTTTCTCATTTTCATTGAGATCACTCACAAATTGGCCTATATATGCGGTATAAAGTCACCCGGAAGTTCAAAATTTTGACACAAAACATACTATAATCGAGAGTTTCATTTATTTATTTTATTATATGAATTTCAACTACATATATATCTTACATATGGCCGATATTTTCGGTAAAAAGTCAACTATAGACACTGGGGTTTACATATTCAGTACCTAGGGTCTTAAATAGTTTTGGTTCGATTTGACAATTTTCTGTCACAAGATGGCATACTTCAAACGCATTGTTCACGCAAAGTTGTACTCCTTTACAATCATTGTAGCTTGATTAGCATAGTGGAAAGTGAAAGAATCAAATGAGAATTATATGAGAAATATATGAGAAATAGGCGTGGCTGTAATCCGATTTCACCATTTTCGTTATTTGTTTTTACCTAAAAGTGGGCGATGCCACCCCCACTGTCTAATTTTGAGCACGGTTCCTATAAATTCATCTCATACCATCCCAGTTGTAAAATTTAATGTCTCTGGCGTGTTTAGTGTTTGATTAGCGCGTTTTTAGTAGTTTGTAACAGTACCGTTATATGGGGAGTGGGTGAGGTTGTCACCCGATTTCAGCCATTTTCACACTGTCGAGAGAGGTTCTAAAAGCATTTGTTCCAGTGAAGTTTGTTCTTATAGCTTTAGCGATTTGGAAGATATGCACACTAACGTTATTACAGTCTTGTATCTTATTGTGGAGCTTAGTTATGGCAATTTATTTGTTTTTGATTAATGACGTTTTGTGGACGTAGCAGTGGTCCGATTATGCGCATCTGCAATACCCACCGTCTTACGGTACCAAGAAACATGTGTACCAAATTTCATAAAGATATCTAAATTTTTGCTCAAGTTACAGCTTGCACAGACGGACGGACAGACAGACAGACAGTCCCCGGATTTTAACTTGTCTTTTCATCCTTATCATTTATATATACATAGCCCTATACTAGTATCTAACTCGATTAGTTTTAGGTTTAGCAACCATTAGGGGAACTAAACTATTATACTCTGTAGTAACATGTTGCGAGAGTATAAAAAAACATACATACATATGAGCTCGCATACATATGGACCCCAAATTGTGCGCCAAATTTTTGTGAAAGTATTGAATATACTCTTGTTTTTATGATTATTGCACATCTTTTATTTTGATCAATTATTGAATTGTCAAAATTAAAATATATATTTGCAGCCAACATAACGTTTTTGCGCTCCTCTTTCACGCATACAAAGATCACGTTATCCCACTTTTAGGCTCCTTACAGCAACAAAGAATGCGAAAGGTTTTAAAGTTTTAATAAAAATCAAAAGAGGAAAACTTACAGTCTACAAAATGTTTTGTCTTACTCAATGAAGCTCTCACTTTTTGTTTCAAGAACGTTCCTTAAGAAAAATGATGTCATCAAGTTAACAGAAATTGGACACATATTCATTTCAAACAAATTCGGTACATAACATTATCCTGACTATTCTACGTTACGTTGCGAAAATAGGCGCCATTTTAAATTTCATCAGATTCTTTCACTTTCCAGAACACAAATCAAGTAAATACTAATTAATATATTCGGATAAAACTTTGGTCAAGTAGTGCCTTTGAGGTATGTTATTTTGGGTCTTAAAATAGTAAAAATCGGACTATATCTTTTCACTATATCTATATCACATAAAATGTTAAAATTGTTTTTAAAAAGTGGGCGTGGTCTCGTCCCTAATAGATTTAATGTGATTATCTCCTAAACCGATCAAGCTACAATAACAAAATTCACTGGGAGCAATGGTTTTTGCAGCTCTATTGACAATGTGAAAATGGGTGAAATCGGGTGCCAACCTAACTAACGGTATAGTTAGAAACTACTAAAAGCGCGATAGATCAAGCACTAAACACGCCGGAGACATTAAATTTTATCTCTGGGATGGCATGAGATGTCCTTAGGTGGAAACTAACTCTTGGGATCTGCTTAACCGATTTCAACAAAATTTGGTGCATAACATTCTTCTCGTATTTCTACGTAATAGTTGCGAAAATGTGCGAAATCGGATTACAACCACGCCTATTTCCCATATAACACCATTTTAAATTCCATTTGATTCTTTTACTTTCCACTATGCAAATCAAGCAACAATCATTGTATCGGGGTAAAACTTTGCGTGAATAATGCGTTTAATGTATGCCACCTTGTCACCAAAAACTTTCTAAGTCGAACTTAAATTGTTCCAGCGCCTAGATACTAAATATGTGGACCCCAATGCCTGTAGTTGACTTTTTACCGAAAATATCGGTTAATGTGTAAGGTATATAACTGAAATTCATATAATAAAATAAATAAATGAAACTCTTGATAATAGTGTGTTTTTGTGTCAAAAATGGGTTGAATCGGATCAATACTTCCTTTAATATACAATTTCGCCAACACCTGACGTAATTTCCCTTGCAAGTTGCGAGAGCATAAAATGGTTGGGTACACCCGAACTTTTCCGAGGCTTGGTATGGAAAGGTTGAAAGGTATAATATTTGATGGTTCTCAAAAACGGCAATTAATTTTATTTTTATTTTATGCCATTATTGATTTGAGCAAAATGTTGGCCAAAGGGCCTTCACGGTTTGCATATACCCGTTTACACCAATTTTCGATGACCCAGTGCAGTATTTTGCCTGGAATTTTGGTTATAGTTCGCTGAATGTTGTTTTCGAGCGGCTCGAGCGTCGTTAGATGATTTGTGTATAATTTTGATGTAACATACCCCCAGAGAAAATTATCTAGAGGCGTTATACGCATGATATTGGCGATCATTTTACTGGCGGTTTCTCAAAATTAACGAGTCTCCAAACTTTGCACGGAATATGTCCATGTTTAGACATGAAATATAAGGCGACGCAACGTCTTGTTGGAAATAGAGATTGTCCGCATCGATTTAATCAAATTGCGGAAGAAAAGTCTTTCGACACCCTGTCATAACGCAGCATTTTCTGCCCCATTTCGAAAGAAATAAGGCCCAATGAGGCCGCCATACCACAATCCGCACCAAACAGAAAAATTTTGTGGATACAATAGTGTTTCTTGAATTACACGAGAATTTGACTGACAATCTTGTTTGTTGACGAAGCCATTAAGCCAAAAATGGGCCCCATCTTAGAAGACCTTCTTTGCTCTTACAGTAGCCACCGGAGATCATGAATGTAGGTAATAATCTTGGACAATTTGTAAGCGTTGTACCACGATATATCTCAATAATTACTCAAGTTTTCGCTTGTACAGAAGAACGGACGGACAGTTACTCGGAATTCAACTGATATCGTTATCATGTTATCATAATCATTTATATATACTATGTATATATAACCCCATATCTATCTCGATTAGTTATAGGTGATACAAACAACCGTTAGATGAACAAAACGATACTTTCTGTTCAAAAATGTTTCGAGAGAATAACAATGTTAAAAAATTAAAAATTTAATTTATTATAAGTTTATTAAACTCATTCAAAGAATCTCATGTCATTATCTTAGGGATAGGGATTAATTCATATTCATACACATTTTCGACACTAAAAAATTGTACATTCAGCATTATAAGTTTACTTAATTTTGACCAATATACATATGCGGTATAAAGCCAATCAAAATTTAAAATTCTTGTAATAGGTATGTAGGGGCTACGAATATTTTTTCCCGATATTTCCATTTCTGACGCAAGGGGACATTATTATGAGATTCATTAAGATACTTCACAGATTGACTAATATATATGGTATAATATAAGGTCAACCGGAATCCTGGGGCTTGAAAAAATACTTCGAAATATTTCACATTCATTTTAAATTGACGTTCGTATTTTTTAACGCGGCTAAATTTATTAAAAATACGTATTGACCCTATCATCAACAACGATAGCTTAAAGATCTCACATCCGAAAAATACAGACAGAGTGGACAAATTACTGTACTGCGAAAAAAGTCGTCAGCAGTTATCTGCTCAAAATTCTATCTTGACTATTACTTTTACTTCCATAGCACTCTACTTCATTTTATTATGTCCTATGCTAGATAACATAATAGTATAAGAAAGAACAGTCGTTTACAATATTTATCCGCAACATTTTTTTATGTAGTGTGATTATTTAAATTATATTCGCGAGGTTTGTTTAAAACAAAATATGTAAAGTGGTGTTATTCATAGCCCATCTAAGGCTATAACATTTTTCTCTTTCTGTCAATTTGTGGATTCCAACATAAAGGAACTGTACCGGTTTAGCGGTAAAGAATGCACCAAACCAATATTTGATAATTTTTGATTTGATGATTGGAAACAGTGTCTCCCATGGCATTGGCAACAATCTTTCTAGTGCTTCCAGTTCCTCTCTTAAAATTTTTTGGCCACCGTGCAATCAACTTTTGGCACGTTCGCTCAGCTAGAGCATGTTAACCATAAACTACCACCAAAATACGATGAATTTGGGCTGAGCTTTTTTTAATATTAAAGCAATGAAGAAGAGCTCCCCCAAAAACACTTTTTTAGCCACAAAGTTCGACTTATTGGAGTGAAAAAAATTATTGTTGTTTACGCTTGAAATGAATGACATATGATGTGCTTAGTAGCTTTCCAATGCCTGTGCCGAATATTGGAACAATAATCAAGTTACGATATTTCTTGACAAACCTCACGAATATAATATAGACCTAGTATATATTTTCATTGTTACCAAAATCTTAAATATGTAGATGTGGAATATGATTTAATTACTTGCGTTAGGGCTACATGCATAGAGATTATATAGAACGTATATTTTACATTACTGTACTTACTATGTTATAGGGGAACAGTTTTTCATGTGCTTAATAATGTGTTCGCTATTAGTGAGCAATTTTACATTTTTAGCAAACGAAATAGGAAAATATAGGTATCATTACTTACCACTCAATTCGACAAGATAAGATTAGTAATATAATGAATTGCAATCCAATGTGACAAACTGAATTCCATGAGCATTTGGTTAATCTTACAAATGCGAAACGGCTCCACGATTTATCATATCTTGGGATGACACTTGTTTTGAGTTTTGTAGTTGAGGATTGCTGAAGCAATGAGTTTTGATTTAAATGCTCTTTCTGGTATTCCGAATGTCGAAGAGACAAGTGTTCATAATGTTTACTTTGGTTAAAGTACAACCAAAACATTGTACAATAAATGATTATGTATACTGTGGATCTTTAATTTTAATATTTCCTCTTCGATGGTGCAAAACGCCAAGACTGCTATAGATTGTAATAGCCAGCTCATTGTTTGTTGTGTCCTGAAGAAATTGAAAGTATCAAACATATTTGTACGATCATGGACAGTTGATGTAAACTTTTAAATTCGTGATTGGATAATATATTTCTTTATAATCACAAATATATCCAAAGCATTCATAATGCATCTTTAAAGTATTAAAATTGGCAATATTTACATGTATTATGTTTTTCACCGGCTACGTTGTAAAATAAAACTGCCATGACATTAGTTATTAAGATGTTCTAAGTATTTTTCAAACTTTCGATCCAATATTATTTACTTCTGCAAAAAAAAACAGGCCATCACCTCATATTGTTATGTTATATATTAATTTTTTTCTTTTCACATTTCGAGTTAAAAAAACTGTTTATTCAAAATTAGTCATTAATGTCACACGATATCGTAGTCACAATCATTAATTATTTTGTAATTTTTACTAAAATTTTTTATTTATCGAGTTTTTTTTTCATTTCAATTAGGAAAAACATTTTTTTTCTAAGTCCTTTAATTTTTACTTGATTCTTTTTATTATAATATTTTGCTACCACTTACATCCTTTCGTGGAGCGTTCTCACAAGTATTTGAAACGACATAATAGAAAGTTTGTTAAAACACCGCAAATTTGATTTCTATAAGGGCGAAATGGCTGGCGTTATTGCTAGCTTGCCGCCTGCTGTTCTGCGCGTGCCATACACATTGTGTTAGATAACAGCGCACTTGCCGAGAATCAACGTTATTTAACAGTATTAAAGAACCTCTGCATCTATTATATTTGTTTATATTATGTGCGAGGATATCTTCGTCTTACAAATGTGCGTATCCATATGTAATATATGTATATCAATGGAAATTATTAGCATATAAAGCCATGTTGCATTTGGCAAGCTGATTCCTAAAAAATTTCCGCAGAAGATTATACCTACATATAAAATATTTGCATACAATAGTCTTTATGTCCTTTAATTTTAAATTATTGTTTTAATTTATGTACGTTAATTATATAATTGAAGAAAGAACGTAGAGCTTTTACTTCGCATCCATTTCTTTGAAATTATTTCTAATGAAACTAATAGCCATGGAGAATTAGCAAGTCGAATAATTTCTTCAATTATACTCTTGTTAGTTTTTTTCAAGCAAAGATGTGAAAAAGTGAAGTTTTAATAAATGTTTATTTCCAAATTTCCAACACATAATACTTGTTAGAGAATTGCTAGCGTCACCAAGACTAAACATGTTTAATTCGCTTAGTAAATGACCGTTTTATTGTGCATGGGATACAAGGTAATGAAATTTAAATTGCAGTTTCCGTTGCAGAAAGCAAAATATCTTCCTGTGATGTCTGATATATCTACGCCCACACCTTGAGCTCGCGAGCGAAGCTAGTTTATTTACTTTCATATGAAGGCAACACATCGTTCAGCTGTCGTTGAGTACACTATGTACATACACTACCGACCACATGCGGGCACCAATCACAAAGCAGTATACCATACATACTGATTTACAGAGATTTTTTACATATCTTTTAAATAAAAATTAAAAAGAATTAAAAAACTGTCAAGCAATTTATATTTGCATTCTACTGCTATTTGCGTGTTTGAAGCTTGTACATACATATATATATAAGTCAACTAACTGTTATCTAATTATAATTATATACAACGCTTTCAGATATTCTATTATTAAAAGATAAGTCTCGTTCCTGTATATGGTATACTAACACTTTATAGATAATTGTTAATTGAAATAACATTATGTTTGAACTATGGATTCTTTTTGACTTTTTGAAATTGTAAAAATTACGTAATATTGGGATGCCGTAAATGCTTCCATTAGGAGTTCCTTGCCAAAGTTCTTACGTGACTACCATTCAAACATTGCAAAATGCGATTTTTAACTGTTTAACATAAAGGACAGCAGCAAGGACCGTTCTTAGTTAGAAGACGAAATCGACTGTATTTACAATTTTTCGATTAAGTTAAGCGCTTACGAGATATTCATCGTCAAACATCAATGCCTATCGACGGAAAAAAACAGACCATTCTTGTAAAACAGTAAATTTCATACAAGACTATCAGCTTTGCAATTAAAAATTTTTTTTTTCGTTGACTTATAAAATTCAAAAGAAAAAACAAATTTGCTTTAAAATAGTCAAATTTGAACCGTTAATATCTTTTAAACGGTTAGATTTACGAAAAAATCGTTATAGATCTTTTTTAAAGAGAACTCAATTTCGTAACAATTCCACTAGACGAAATAATTTTTTTAAGTAGTTGGAAGCGAGATATGAATTTTTCTATCTGATAATAAGAGAACAAGAAAAAATGTTAACTTCGGTTGCACTGCAACTAGAATACCCTTCACAAATACAAAAAAATCGATACAAGAACTTGATTCCGATCGTTATTGCCTTAGATAACAATCTAGGCCAAATTTCGTGAAGATACCTCGTCAAATGAAAAAGTTCTACATACAAGTACTTGATTTCGATCGATATCTCAAAAATTGAAGGACTAGTTCGCGTATATACAGAGTGATAGACAGACGGATATGGCTAAATCGACTCAGCTCGTCTCGCTGATCATTTAGATACATTATATATTCTATAGGGTCTCCGAAGTTTTCTTTTGGGTGGTGGCAAACTTAAAATACCCTGTTCAGGGTATAAAAGTAGAAAACTGTTAGGCGGCGGACCTTCCCGTTAAAATTCAATATCAACCAATTTTTCAGAGTACCAAGCGAAAAAAAACATTCGTTTTTTTTGTTTTTACCCATCCTAATGTAGCTGTGATGAACACTGACGAAAATTGGTATTAATTACTTTTTTAATAAAATGGCCCATACATTTTCTTCGAATTGTAATATAACTTTTGGGTGGAAATTAAAACCTTAAATTTATCCTTATTAAGTATCCTTAATTCGACTTAAAGGTTGTTAATATCAAAAATCATAGCCAGAAAAAACTAGCAAAACGTTTTTCTTTAGGTGCAAGCCGTTGGCCGGTTACGTTTTAAGATATAGGTACGCATACTGTTGCTATAAGAAATAAATCTACAAGTATGAAGGGTATTATAGCTTCAGTGCAGCCGAAGTTGAAATATTTTTATGTTTCTGTTAATGTTGCAAAAAACAGGAGCATTTTAATTATCTATACTATATAGTGCTGAAAAGTACACCACTTAGCAAAATCAATTTTGAATATTGGCTTTATTTTAAACGTATTGTGAATTTGTTGAATATCTATTTTAAAAATATCATTAAAATATGAAACGATAGAAGCTATGCCCGAAAAATTACAATAACAAGGGTAGAAAATTGTCAAAGCTCAGACGTATAAGGTCGACGGAGCAACTGCATTTAGTTTTCTTCTACAGTTTGATATTGAAGATCCCCATATCTACCAGAATTACTGAAGTTACTTGTGGGTAAGTAAAAAATATGCCGTGCCACGATTTCCAATTTTCCACCAGAATTTTAACGGTTTAGGTTTTGTCAAAACAAGGCTAAGATTTGTAAAAAAAATTAAGTGGACAAATTTTCTTAAAAATTATAAAATTGTATTAATGGTTTAGCTCTGAATATAAACCATTAATACAATTTTCCACTTAATTTTTTTTACAAACCTTAGCCTTGTTTTGACAAAACCTAAACCGTTAAAAGTCCGGTGGAAAATTGGAAAACGCGGCACGGCATATTTTTTACTTCTAAATCTTATATTCCTGATATAATAAATTCTTTAGTGAATGTTTTCCACATCAACTCAATAAATTAATTTTAGCCTCTTCGGTGAAGTGTATATCTCATTTGAAGATCATTTTATTATAAATTTAGCTGACGCGAAGTAAAATATGGTATAGCTATAAAACTAAGTGAGTCTATGACCTATAACTTACAAAAATACAAAATTTCATTGTAATGCATTTATGATTTCATTGAATAATAAATGTTTAATTCGTTTGCAATAACTGAGGGTTTTTTCCTGCTTTGGTCTTTGCAGGAGCTTGAAAAGGTCTCGTTCAATTTAGAGCAATTTTAGATAAAAATTGTCACACACTTTATGTTAAGTCCTATTTCAATAGTTTTATTGATGGTTGATTTATTTATTGTAATAGTTACTTGTATAAGTCACACCTTGCACTCACTTTATGTTAAGTTATATTTCAATAGTTTTATTGATGGTTGATTTATTTATTGTAATAGTTATAAGGAAATCTAATGGGGTCTAGAGTGGTACCATATACGAAGTAGACGTGATGGAGGTCCGATTTTGCTCGTTTCCAATTTTAACAAGAGGAAGTCAAAAGAATATTAACATAGGAAGCTAATTCGGTTGAAATTGTTCTGTGAGTATTTAAAGCAAACATTACGTTAATGTGAAATAAACCTAAGTTTTTTGTTGATAGTACAAAACTTATACAAATTTGTTCAAGAAAAGGTGAGAAGGGTCGATAGTTTATTGAAACGTAAACTTTTAGATTATTTAATTACCATGAATATATGGGTTTATTTTAATGTTCTGAATGTAAAATAATAGTGATATTAAAGTACACATAATGTTTAATTGGTTAATAATCCTTCAACATGTTGCTACAGAGTATAACAGTTTTGTTTACCTAACGGTTGTTTGTATCACCTAAAACTAATCCTGATAGATATAGGGTTATGTATATATAATATAAATGATCAGGATGAAGAGACAGAGTTGAAATCCGGTTGACTGTCTGTCCGTCCGTCCATCCGCGCAAGCGATAACTTGAGTAAAAACTGAGATATCTTGATGAAACTTGGTTCACATATTCCTTGGCAGCCCAGGTAATCTAGTCAGAAACAGAGACGATATACATAATTCAACATACAATGAATGAATCGGTTTTTTATCTGATCTGACAGGCTAAAAACGACCAAAATTTCGAGAAAAATCAAACTTTTTTTAACGCCGCCATTTTGGCAGTTTTTTCTAGTTTAACGAAAAATTTTAATTGTGGTTTCATCCAAGGAGAATGCCGAAATCACTGCATCACTGGAGGACCTTTTTTTTAAGCGGCGTTGGAGATCTCTTATAACTCAAAATACATAAAAACTGTGTATTCTTGAAACGTATTGTATATAAATATACCCTGTAAATTTCAAAATATTCGATACAGTATTGTTTTTTAAATTCCCAAAATTCGATGTTTTTTTAGGTTGTCGCACTAGGTGTTCCTCTTTAACAACAGTACCCACTTGTCAACATACAAAATTCAAAAGCAAGTTTTCTTTTAAAAATTTTATCGTAAGTTGGGCAATTGGTGTCTCATATTTATATTAATACCTTCCAAAACTTAAAGTCAAATTCGCA